CTTAAAGCGCGTTTCATTTTGATTCCGTAGAATTTAAGAATTTGTGATTGATCACTTTCGGAATCTTGGTAATCTTAATTTATGTTATTTTTTTATATGAAAATAAATAAATAACAAAATATGGGTCTTTATAGAATAATTTCACAGTTATGTTTTGTTATTGAAATTTGACTATCACAGGTAGATGTGTCCAATATGTCTAGTAAATTATTCAATGGGACTGGTTGCAGTACTGGTCGTTGGCTACCTTGGGACGCACACCGTGGGAAGCCATGCATGCACCCACAATATCAAACTCTTCCTAAGAAAATAAATGGGAGCAGGCCTAACTCCTAATTATTGTTCCTCCGAAACTTTTAATACCGCAATTACTGATGAATAAATTTAAGACAGCTAAACCTCCTTAATAATTATTAGCACTAATATAATACTATCATTTATTCATATAGCACTTAGCTTAGGTCTGTTCATTGCTCATTAATATGTAATTAATTAATTATATTTTGGATGCAATATTAATGAACTTCAAATCAACTCATACCTCCTCAAATATGGACGTGATGATTTCAATTATTTGATTCTATGAAATTTTCCAAATTTTAAATTTTTTTATATTCACTAGAAAAAAAAAGGGATTAGTGAACATCTGGTTGATCCAAATTTCCATGTAATTATTTTATTTGCTTAATTTCCCAGTTAGACTTTGAAAAGTTCACACCAAAAAATGAAGAAAAAAAAATGTAATTAAGGTAAATAATTCTTATATTTTTTTGTTAAAGACTCTTGCTATATTATCAAAACTAGTATTCGACTCTGTGCATTTGCACAGATATAAATAAAATTAAATATTATAAGTTATATTTATGTATATAATATAAAAATTATAAGTTATATAATTGTATTATATTTCAAACATATAGTATTATAAGTTATATTTATGTATATAATATTAAAACTATAAATTATATAATAGTATTATATTGTAAAATTTGATCATTGGTTAAAATAAATAGTATACACGATTTGATTGTATACGAATCACTATATTGATTGCATAAAATGTAATAAATATAAACTTTTTATAATTTTGAGTGATAATGACCAATTAATTAGCTAAAAAATATTACATTTATTATAGCAATTGCTTATGTGATTTTAAGAAATTTTACTATGACATAAAAAAAATTAATGTATTAATAAACAACCGCTTCATCATATAAAAAAATATTGATTTTAGTGTAAAATATAATTTTATGTAACTTTATATTATTTAATATAAAATATAATTGCTAATTTTAATATTAACTATTATATTATTCAATAAAAAATATAATTATTAATCAATTAACATAAAATATAATGATTTTTGTCTTAATTAACCCAAAAAAATGTAATGAAATATTTTCTTATTAATGAGATTGGGTGTATTAATGCCACATAAATAAAATTTATTAGGTTTTCTTTATTAGGTTTTATTAATGATTTGCCACATAGGTAAAATTTATTAGGTTTTATTTATTAGGTAAAATTTATTGCTTAGCTAGCAATTATATATATATAGATGATTTATAGATTGTGTTATTGAAAATACACATAACAAACATTCATCCACAATTTTATAAACATCCACAACTTTATCACTATTATATTACCAAAATCAACAATTCATATTGTATCAATACATAATTCGATAAACCAGTTGGTAATCTAATTTGACAAAATGGATTAATTGCTTTTCAATGAACAAGGAGACACAATTGAAATTTTGTTACACAAACAATCTGACAAAGTAAATTATGTGTATTATTCTTTTTTATAAAAGCCT